GCTGACAAACAGCTGATCAGCTGTTTGTTGGCTCAGCGCGGCAGCCATGTAACTTTAAATGAAGCGGCGATTATTTAAATCGCCGCTTCATTTTACTATGTCTGGTAGCCTCATCTACATGCCTCTGGTGACAGAGGCATGTAGTCTAGACGTACCCTTAGACTATACTGCTCCCTGTCCCTCAGCATCACTGAACAGTGATGAAGTGTGGCTCTTAGGAGAAAAAGATGCCTCGATAAAGCCCTAGGCTCAGCAGGGAGAAGAGGTTTCCCACTGGGATGCTGAACTTCAGGGCTGCTCCATGAGGGGTTAAACTCCGATGCAGCAGCGGGCACTAGATGAGGTTGCTGGGCTGGATGCTGTGTGGGGCCCTGAGCACCTTCACTCCACCCATAGCAGGGTTTCAGGAAGCACAGGTCTATGCCAGGCAGAACTGGGATTCAACTGAATTGTAGCAAGAGTTCAAACTAGTTAACTGATGAGTTAATGTTTTTCGGTGCCAATTACTGGTTAAACTCCCCACTACCCCTGAAGTGCCCACTTGCCTCTGGCAGCTAAAGTCAGTCTGCAGCTTCTGGGCATTCCCATTGACCAGCAGTTCTTGTGGCCACCCTGGCAGACCTCGCAAGAGATCCCCAGGAGAGCCCGTTTCCACTATCAACCCTGCCTGTCAGCAGCTTAAAAAATACTGTCACTGATAAAATTGTAATTGGTTACAATGATTATATTGTTAATCACCTGCATCATTCTTTATGAAGGTGCCACCACCAATCTGTCCCCCACGCTCGTAGGTGTCCCGCTGCATCCGCAGTCTCCTCCTGTGTATTTTTCTATGGACAAAGCCATGTTCAGGGCTGAGTCACTGCTAGACAGGGACAGAGCTCCACAGAACTGGGACTCTCTTAAAGACAGACAGATGGGCTCCAAACATCTAATGTGGTTTGCCCTTGTGCTTATCTCTGTTTTTTCAGGAAAAATTGGAGACTCGTTTGAAGACTCTGAGGGAGGAGAGAGAAAAGCTGCTGAGAAGGAAAAAAACAGCAGACGGGAAAAGCCAGGAGTATCTGGTAAGTGCTTGTGGCTAGGGACCAGCAGGGACTGGCAGTGGGAGGGCTCTGTTAGGAGGCAGACTCCTGTGTGGCCTTGGTGAGGTTGGGCTTGTTTGTGTTTCTCCTGGATCATGAATTGCTGGCTGAGATCCATGTGTAGAAAGGCCTTGAGCATCCGTGTCAGTACATGAGTTAATGTCCATCCTTTGTGGCTTTCCCAAACATCCTCCCCAAGTGAGCTGAATGTGCCCCTGTAGGACTGTCTGCTAACTTGGTGCATTTATATGTTTGCTTCTTTCTCTTCCCTGGATATCTCTGTCAGGCGGGTGCTGAGTCCTGCCTCCTCGTGCTCTGGATCTGAATTCCTAGAGCCCATGAATAACAAAAGATGCTGCCCATGACAGACATGGGAACATCCCTTTCAGAGGGACACAGGGCAAAGGAGATGCTGGAAGAGACGCATCTCCCTAGTAATCACAAAGAGTCAAATGTCACAAATTTTAGGGTTTTCCAAGAAATTCTCCCTACTGTGCACTCAGCTCCCTGTGAAAGGGCCGTGGGCTCCATCTATGCCCCTGACCAGCCCTTTCCCTGTTTTCATACAGAAATGGACCCAAGCCAAGAGGCAGATGATTGTGGCTGAGTTTCAGCAGTTGCTGCAGTTTCTGAAGGAATAGAAGCAGTGACTCCTAGCCCAGCTGGAGCAATTAGATGAGGCGATTAGGAGTTTCCAGATTGACACAGGAAATCTGCATGGAGAGGTTCCTGACAGTGTCAGCGAGGGAATCGGGGAGATGGAGGGGACATGTCAGAAGCCAACAAGTGAATTCCTGCAGGTGAGACTGAGGGACAAACATCTCAGCTCCTCACACAGCAAAGGGGGGCTCCTGAATCACAAGTTGTAACTCCATGTGCATTGTTGCCATATGAGGATTGCTGTGCTTTGTAAAGTTACAGGCACAGCGCTACTAGAGATTGTAAAGCCCCATTCTCTCAGGGGATCCATTTTCCTGGGGCCGGGGCCAGGGCCGGGCCTCTCTTCCCATGTTTACAAAATCCCTTCCCTGAGATCCCCTGTGTGTGTCCAATGGGGCTGAGATTCTTTTCTGTGTCTTTTTTTCTAGGACGTCAGAAACACCCTGAGTAGGTATGTGGCTCTCACTCCACTCACACTGCACAGAGCAGGGAAAAGGCTTGGAGCGGATGTTAGCACCACATCTCCCCAGAGCTCTACAGCCAGATGTTAGATATGAATATCTCTGATGCATTTAATTCTGAGGGTCTCATCCTCGCACTTGAGACTCTGGAATTCCCCATTCAGGGTCTGACCAAGTCTTTCCTAGAGCTGTCACCTCCTTGGGGATTGGTTGTCGCAGGACTGTGGGGTGGAACATGGGCCTGTCACTGCTGGGCACTGACCACATTCAGCCCAGGGCAGCAGGATCAAGAATCTGTCCCACTCGAGGGCTGTTTGGAGATCTGAGCTGAGGAGAGGGGAGCTGGTGTCTCAGTCTAATCCCTAGTGGACAGATTCCTTCAGCCCTTCACATGGGAACCTCCTGTCCCTCAGCGTCTGGAGGCCAAGGAGTGAGTTGGCCATGGAGACTCTATTCCCCTTTACTCCCCCAGCCAGTCTCCCCAGGCCAGAAGTGAAGAACTGAAATGGGATCTTTGAGGGGAAGGTCGCATGGCCATGGGATATGTTGTCCCTGCTCTCATGCTGGGAGAATTGGAGGAATTCGAACTCCAGGCCTGTTAGAGCTGAGACTTACAAAATACATTTAATTGTTTCTGTCCAGGAGTGATATGGGGCAATTCCAGCTGCCGGAAGAGATTTCCCCTGAACTAGAAGAACAAGTCAGAGGTTTCTACCAGAAAACGATTGCTCTGTCGGAGACTCTGAGGGAGTTCAAAGGTACCTAAAAGGGATGGATGTGGGGAAAGTGGTTCAAGTATCTGAGACCATTGAATCTGGCCTCTGAAGCCAACCTTCCCCGCCTCAATTCCCATGTAGAGAATGACGGACCCATCACTCTGCTCTCCTTAGAGACACTGAGTGAACAGACCCAACTGCTTGCAGATAGAGCCAGGGGTTTGCAAACTCTGAAACTCCAGAGATCAAAATGTCTAAAGTTACTGTGATGGCCACGTGTTCTGCCACCATATCTCCAGGTTATGATAAGAGTCTGTAAGTGAATGAGAAAGCAAGTGGGAGGGGGTGAGGAGGGAAGAGTAAATCTCATGTACAGCTTGTCTCTCCTAGGACAGGTGTGAGGCTGCAGGGATATTGGCTCCATTGCTGGGAGGTGCCCGAGTGAGAGGAAATGAAAGGTTCAGACTCTTTCATACTAACTACCTGAGTATGATTCTGTCTGGTCTCTGATACAAGTGAAATGCAGAGTTCAGAGTGGGACATTGTTATAAAGAGGAGAGCCTGGAATCTCACCTCTCTTATCCCTTCCCCCACTAGACACTCTGCCCTCTGCACTGGAGAGACCAAGAGGAAAATCCCTTGGAGCTTTCACACAAGGTGAGTTTGCTGGTGGAAATTCTTTAAGTGATGTGAGAATTCCTCTGAAAACATCTTCATGGGATTATCATTGAAGTTACCAACCAAACCCAGGGACCACAGAGCACACAGCCCTAAATCACCCCGTGATCAGTGAGGAGCCCCAGGGGCACTGCATGGGGACCTGTGGACATTTGGAGAAACACAGGTCTATAGGTTTGTGATGCTAAAGGGGTGAAATTAAAGCACAAAACGGACGGCACCTTCAGGTTCAGATTTCACTGCTCAGTCAGTTTCAATGTGGGGTTGGTTTCAAACAGTAAATAGGCTGAAAAGCTTCTTCACCCAAACTCCCTCCTAGACCCCTCTACCTGTCCTGCATCCCAAACCATTACCCCGAGCATCCTCCTTCTCCCAATGCCCATCCCAGATCCTCCATTTCCTGCATTTATGTCATGGAAGAGTGCAGCTCTCAGCCACTTTCCATTCCACCCCCAATGAAAATTTGTCCCACTTTTTCAAATGGATACGGCTCAGTGAGAGCCAGTAATTGAAAGCTGAAGCCAGACTATTTCAGACCAGAAAAGAGGCACAAATGTTTGATAGGGAAGAAGATTAGCTGCTGAAACAAATGAACAAAGAATTGGTGGATTCTCCCATCTCTTGATGTCTTCAAATCACTGGGGGACTTTCTAGAAAATACACTTTGGGGAAACAGAGCTTTGTGCCTGGGTAACCGGACTAAGTGTAATGGCTTGTGCCACTGAGGGCGTCAGACTGCATAACTGAGGGTATCTTCTGATCCCATAAATCTTAAGTTCTCATCCTGCTAACACTCAGCACAAGTGTTTAATAATAAGCACACCTATTTAATAATACCACCACCATTCAAATGCTTAACTTCATTAATTCTCTGTTTTGAAAAGGGTTTATAACGTCTCTGTGAGATGAGGGCAAAGTTTGTGCTGCAAATCTGTGAATGAAGACTAAGAGTTTTAAATACAGCAGCCTGCATTTAACCTATGTCTATGTTCAGGCATGTGAATATGTGCCTTATCAGAAACACTGGGTGCTTAAAACTATATCCCATTGTTGCAGATGCAGTAATCTTGTAACTCAAGCCGGGTGCAGAGAGAAATGAATATAGATTTGGGATCTAACTCCCGTGTGCTATTAATGGAATATTTAGACTAAAACTTTTGTCCACAGTGGCAGAGTCTAACACATGTGTCACGTCACTAGGGACAAAGCCTGCGGAGAATGGGGGTGTGGAAAGGATTAAAGCCCCTTCTGAAATGTCTCCAATTCGCCTTCTCCACCTTCTCTAGCCCAGCCCCCAGCCTTGAGAGCCAGGGACAGGAAATGGCCGTGGTGGAGCCGGTGAGCTTGGAGGAGGTGGCTGTGTATTTCTCTGAGGAGGAATGGGCTCTGCTGGACCCGGGCCAGAGAGCCCTCTACAGGGATGTGATGCAGGAGAATTATGAGGCTGTGAATTGGCTGAGTAAGGATTCTTGTCCCCTTGGGTAACAAAAGCTGGGTGGGCTCTGGAGCAGCTCTGTTGGGTTCGGTTCATTATCATTCATTGTCTTTGCCCACAATGTCACAAGTATCTG